CCTTATCACCCTGACACCTCTCCACTGCACCTAACTGTGTGGCCTTCCATCTTATGCCCCTGTAGCCCCTGTGCTATCTTCTCCAGTAGTTCCTCTCTTCCTTCTCTGCCCCTACAAGGACCTGTCTCTCATTCAGTACCTTGTCAGCTTCTCCCTTCACACCTCGGACGTTTATGTATCCTCAAGACTTTATAGCTTCCATGCAGAAAATACCCAGGCTCACATCTCAAATCCTGTTCCTCTTTGGGAAATATAAATTACTGTCACACACACACACACACACACACACAAACAATTTCTTCTTAACCCCATTCTTATCCGGAGAAGAATACACCCCCATATCTTCAATTAAGACCCATGGCCTGGCACTACTGAAATGCCATTTGGGATCCATATTGAGCTAGCAGGTCTATTTCATTCTCTGTTTGCTGGTTCTAATAGAGAATTGTGTGACAGAGGCAGAAGGCCCAGCTTCCCATTGCCCCCTGAGCATTTCTCTGGATTGGTGGGGACCTGGACTCAGGTCAAACTGAGATTCATGGTTGCAATGCAGAAAAGAATTCAGGGTTAGCCAGTTTAAAATGCAGAGTTAGGATGAATAAAGATGTCTTAGTATCAGCTTTAGAGTGAGCATTACTATAAAGAGGGATGCTCAGAAGAGAGGAAAACACACTCAGAATGATATGATCCTCTCTGAGAGTGGCAGGGTAAGATATACCCACATGCAGGTATGAGCTTCGAAGGGAAGTCTCGGCTCAATGTCTGTTACAGCATATAGGATGTTGGGGGAGGGTGAAGATACTGTCTTCAAGATGGGCTAAGAAACGCCATGAGATTAGCTGGTGCTTCCCTGGGGCTACCTGGCATGGCTACAGCTGAGAAGTCTAGCTCACAAGGGTACAGGAAGGTAGAACATCTTTACTATCACAGACGATGTTAACAGTTTTGGTTGAGATACTCAGAAAATGACTGGAAAAAAGAGGGTGACCGACCCAAGGTCATATACATTCAAACCTCAAGCCCAGCAGGCGTGTTGTGAGCTTAAGATAAAACATATGGATACACAAAAGGGATAAAGTCCGAGCTCTCTGGGCAGCCTTTGTAGCCAATGCTGTGCTGACTCCTTGCTGCTCTGATGGTGAGAGACTCAGTAAGACCCTGGAGTGAGCGGCCCTTCTCATGTCCCCCAGATTGCCTTGTCTCTCTATGCTTGCTGACACCCACACCTGTCCCTTTGGAGGTAAGCTTGCTCTTTCTGTGGAGCAACAAGAAGAAGGAAGTGAGCAGAAGGGAAAGGGACAGGGCAAAGACTGAGAAGGAAAAGAATGACCAGAAGGGACTTGGGGGAGAAAGGAAGAAACTTAAGTTTAAGGTGAGTCAACCTTGGGGCAGGTACACTACAAGGTAACTTTTAAAATTCCACTTGTTACCAGAAAACATCAGCTTGGAGGACCAGGACATCTGCTGTTTAAGACAGTGTCTCCTAAAAATGACAGGGACACTTCATTCGTAATACCTCAACAATGTGACAGTTGAATAAGACCCCAAAACAGACGCACCAATAGACAGCTAATACGATAGTGGAAAATCTTATGCGCTTTCTTACCCCTAGGCAAAAGAGTATAGGCAACCAAGGAACACAGGGAAAGAATGAGTGTTCTCCAAAGAAGAGCCCCTAATTAGTTATCCAGTACCAAGTAATCAGCCCTGAATAAGTAACACTGAGCAGAATCTGTTTATACATTTAGATGTGAGTGTGTGTGTGTGTGTGTGTGTGTATCTGTGTGTGTATAACAGTAATACAAAAGGTCATGATTTCAAGAGTAAGTAGGGGAATGGGTGCATGGGAGGGGCTGGATTTAGGAAGAGGAAAGGGGAAATGATGTGATTATATTTTAATAAAAAATAAAATTAAGTAAGAGTCAGGCGGTGGTGACACACGCCTTTAATCCCAGCACTTGGGAGGCAGAGGCAAGCAGATCTCTCAGTCTGAGGCCAGCCTCTTCTGCAAAATGAGTTCCAGGAGAGCCAAGATTGTTACACAGAGAAATCCCATTAAAAAAAAATAAGTAAAACAAAAAAATTCTCTGGGGAAATATATGAAAATGAGTAAGTATTTAAAAGATGCACGACCCATGTTTTTTGATATCTTTATCTCAGCAACATGGCAGTGTGCTTGTTATAATAGTTTATGAATAGGCACATACAGTGCTTTCTAAGGTGCCCAACCAATGCTGTTGTTTCTTTGAATGTAGTTCTTAAAGACAGCTCAGCATGTCACCGACATCTTCATGTTGGAGCACATTGTGACGCAACAATACACTAAGAAAAATTGGCATTTTCAAATATCCAGTTTTTAGTCTTCCAATCTATGAATGCAATGATCCCCATATTAAGTTTTAGTAAATTTTTAAAAAGTCTTAGTTTTCATGACCTCACCACTCCTCCTCCTGACACCTCTCAGCTTACTACCACCCTCCCACACCCCCCACCCCGCCCCCAGTTCTCCTACTCACCTTTTCCTCTTTACTCTCATCTAGCCTTGGACTCCAATTGGTGCTGCCATTTCCTTCTGGGTGTGAGCTACCCATGAATGCTTGCTTGACCTACCAGATGACACAGTTGTATAGAGAATTCCCTACAAGCCAGCCATCAGCTATCTTTAACTCCTCGGTTCCAGGGGAGGCTCTTGAACTAACCTCCCCACCCCCTTCCTGTAGGCTAGAATGCTGGCTGACTTGATCTAGCTAGTGTAGGTCTTACACAGGCAACCACAGCTGTTGTAAGTTTATAACTGCTGCAGCCCTGTCCTGTCCAGAAAACTGTTACTAAATTTAACACTGCTACAAAGCTCTGCTCTTAGGAGGAAAAAAAAAAAAACTCCAATAGGTCGATGGTGCCCTCTTCTGGTTAAGGGCGACATTGTTTCAACACAATGACAATGTTTAGCCTAGACAACAGGTTCAGAACTTTTCTAAGGGAGCATGAACTCTAAAATGACAAGGAATTTTAGCCAGCAATGAAAGAGGAAGATCTTGAAGCAGAACCCCCAGATGAACCCCACTTACTAGCTTGCTTTTCATGCCTTGCTCAGTTTGCTTTCTTCCACAACCCAGGACCACATGGATGACATGGCCCACAATCAACTCGGTCTGTCCACATGGATTCTATGATCAAGAAAATGCTGCCACAGATTTGCCCACAGTCTGAGTGGGGCAATTCTTCATCTGAGATTTGAGATTCCTCGTGATCCTAGAGAAGCTAAATAAGAAGGTGAACCCAAAGAAAAACATATAGGCATCCTCCTGAATATTAACCTTCATCAGGCGATGAAAGGAGACAAAGACAGAGACCCACATTGGAGCACCGGACTGAAATCTCAAGGTCCAAATCAGGAGCAGTAGGAGAGAGAGCACGAGCAAGGAACTCAGGACTGTGAGGGGTGCACCCACACACTGAGAGAATGGGGATGTTCTATCAGGAACTCACCAAGGCCAGCTGGCCTGGGTCTGAAAAAGCATGGGATAAAACCGACTCGCTGAACATAGCAGACAATGAGGACTACTGAGAACTCAAGAACAATGGCAATGGGTTTTTGATCCTACTGCATGTACTGGCTTTGTGGGAGCCTAGGTAGTTTGGATGCTCACCTTACTAGACCTGGATGGAGGTGGGTGGTCCTTGGACTTCCCACAGGGCAGGGAACCCTGATTGAGGGAGGGGGACTTGATCGGGGGAGTGGGAGGGAAATGGGAGGCGGTGGCGGGGAGGAGGCAGAAATCTGATAGAAAGAAAGAAAGAAAGAAAGAAAGGAAGGAAGAAGACTTGAGATTCCTTCTTCCAAGGTGTCAAACTGACAAAAACTCCCCAGCACACACATTTCCTCTGGGATGTGGTTTGGATCCAATTTATGTTCTCTTTCTGAGAGTAGCTCTCTTCCCTGGGCTCTCACCCCAAGCTAAGTTCCTCTCAATGAATCTCCGGTTTATCTCAGACATTAACTGGGAGTGTGGACAGTAATTTACACTAGGTAATCAACTCTTCAATTGTGTCTTCTTGGTTGAGTCAAGGTTTCCGGAATCCATAAAAAGATATATTGAGAGTTTCCCTATGAGACCATTGCATGCCTTGGGGTGTCCCTAGTGATGCTCTCTGACAAAGTTAGGCTGAACAAGCTCTTGGCTTCAGCATCTTTATAATCAGAGACTTAGAAATTGTTCAAACTAAAAGTAGTAAGGTTGAAATAAGAAGACGAAGTTATAGAGAAATGCAGAACTAGATGAAGGATTGGCAAAGGGATAAACGCTGGATGCTAGCAAACAAAGGCTGTGCAGACCAAAACAAAAGGTTCAGGTAACTTAATAACCACAGAAGCAGAAAAGTTTACGATTCCATAGCAAATAGCAGTCTCAGTAGTCCTCGATATTCACTACAGTTTCTGCGAGACGCACTGCATTGAGAGTCAAGCTTCCTCTCAAATATTTACTATAAAGAAACTAAGTAACGGAGTAACACGATCTTATCATCTAAACATTTAAATAGCCACCTGTCCAAGAAAAAAAAAATAAACACTATGTGAACTTATTTTTCAGTGACCTTAACCACGTCAGCACGTCCGGGAGGGGGCGCCGAGGTGGATAAGGGAGCGCCTCCTGGAGAGCGGGAGACTAGGAGAGCGAGAACCTAGGTGAGCGGGAACCTAGGCCAGCGGACCCTCGGCCGCCGGCAGCCAAGTCTAGCTACCAAAACACACTGGCACTGGGAGTCCCGCCCTTCTAGAGTTCCGTCCACGCAGTGGCTGTCACTCAGAGGGGACTCTGGACCTTGTAGTCAACAGCCGCCTTTCTTTTCTTCTCTTTCGGGGGGTATGAAACCCAGGAAAAACTACCAAGCCCAGAAGGCACCGCGCACCCCGAGTGGGAGGAGCGGAGGACGAGAGGGCGGGACGAGAAGGCCTTCCGGAAAGGATTCAAATTCCAAGGGCTAAAATCGCGGGAGGAGCCGACAGCGCCGGTTTTTAGGTAGGCGAGGCTTCCTTATCCTTCCCTGACAGGAGCCGGCGTGCTCGATGGCGGTCAGTTCTTCAGTCAGCACCCGTCCTCGCAGCACACAGGGATGCGGCTGCGCTTGGCCCGATGGGGTTGGGCTCCCCGAAAGCTAGTCTAGCCGGGCAGTCCCCTACTCCTAGTGACATTTGACAGGACTGATGGGTGGAGGGGCCGGAGATGGCCCGGAGGTTGCGAGCCCTTCCCGCTCTTTCCGATCGCCCTGGTTTACTTCGCAGCACCCACAGAGGGGGCTCGCCACTGTCTGTTACTCCAGTTCGGGGTTCCGACGCCCACGTTTGGCTTCCGCAGGCACTGCAAGCGTGTTGTGCTCAGACTCACATGCAGGCAAAACACCCGTACACATAAAAATAAATCTCGGAAAGGTGGGTGGAAGGACTGACTGAATTGTTCGCCGAGGTTGGTTCAAAAAGAAGAGGAATAATTTCCCAAGCATCCAATAGAAGTAGTTTAGAAGATTCCTACTGAGATTTTGGGGACTATGACCAAGGAACCACAGAATATTCACCTGTAAAACTTCTCCCTATTTCAAGAGGGATTCTTTTGACAGAAGGCAGCATTTCGTTTCTAATGAAAAGCTGGGAGAAGCAGCAAAAATTTGAATGTACTGTAACCTCCTAAGAGGAGTTTCTTTTCACAATTGCTGCTTTGGCTTTAGTTTGTGTCAGTGGGGAGACGGGAGAAGATTCGTGGCGAACATTTGATCTTGTGTTTTTTTCATCTTGTTTTGTCCGCCAAGCTGCTTTCTGTCTTGTAAAACCATCTAATGGAAGTCCCCTGTTTAATACAGCCCCTGCTCAAGGTGATGTACCCAACCGTGCTTCCAAAAGCTTGCACTGTGATCTTGGAGAGTATTAATTAGCTGAAATCAGGCCTTGAAATCATATGCTGTTCCTAAGCTGAATTATGAACTATTTGGATTGTAGGTATCACTCCCTGATAGATTCAGGGACAGTCATCCTTAGCTCAAAATCGTTCACGTACGATAGATTCATCTCTAAAACCTTACCCTTAAAGTTTAATTGAATATACGAACTTGTGCAACTGTAACCAGGATTTCCTTCTTGTCCATTTTAGGTAAGCTTATGTCAAGAGCAAGCACCTGTCCACCACATCCAAGTAATAAAATGGTTGCTATATAAATGACTGAAAGTCCAGCCGGTTTGTGATTGAGTCAGGTGAAGAGGTCAGTGGTAAAGCCTTAGTTCACACACACATACTTTCAAAAAAATATTTGAAGTCGTCCTTAAAGTAGCCATTATTACAAAACTCAGTAAATACATAATGCGGAGAATCATTTCCTGTTTTTAAAGATAAGGCTTCCCGGGAGTAGTAAGAAACAGAATATGTCGAAGTAACCATATTTCCTAAAAAACGTTCAAACAGAAGGGAGCGTGTTTATTGTCTCCCACGTACAATTGAAGTGTGAAGCCACTGGTTTTCTTCACGCCACCTTTCTAGCTTCACGGAATACGGGAGAAACCCAGGCAGTGTGTTTCTCGCAGACCGAGAGGCTGAAGTCAAGAAATAGGAAGTTCTTTAAATCTCAAAACTTCCTGACTCAGGATGTGTGGTTTGATCTGAAAACACTGAGCGCATTTAAACTTTGCCCTGTAGGTTACCTATGAAGACAGTTGACTAAAATATCAAACTATGAAGGAAACGTCCCCCAAGAACAGTCACCTGACAGTTCCGAGTCCAGAATGGATGCTGCTGACGCTGAACAGGCAAGAACAGCGAGTCATAGTAGTTTTGTTGACCTGCTGCCTCCGGAAGTCACTTGTAAAATCTTCAGCCAGTTAGACATTCAGAGTCTGTGCAGAGCTTACGAGACGTGCCAGAGTTGGAATCACATGATAAAAAACAATGATGCCTTGTGGAAGCCTCACTGCTTGACCGCGAGAGCTGTGTGCCCGAGAGAAATCAACAGTGACATCGAACACAATTACACCTGGCGGGTAAGTTTCATTTCACCATCTGTTGTGGTTTTGAGAGGGCGGTTGTAGCACAATGAGGAGAACTCTAGAATTCTGCCTGGAGTAATATGACTATAGAGGAGTAGAGTTGAATCATTTCTCTCTCTCTCTACTGGACATAGTCCCCAAGCTGTCTTCCACAGCCTTGTATCTCTCTCAGATCTTGAAGTCAAGAACTTCCCTTGTTGGGGGGAAGTAAAGAAGTCCATTTCTTTTATTGCACTTTATGAAAACGTACATATATATGTACTAGCTAGCCACTCTGCCAGAGTTTTGAGCGATGGTATCTCCCTTTTCAGGAGATAATCAAAAGAAATTACCAGAAGAGCAAAGTGAAACGCGCGTGGCTCAGTGGAAGATACAGCAACATACGTTCTCCTCTGAACCTGCCGAAAAGCTTAATGTACCCAATGGATGGGGATACGTGGGGAGAAATTCTAGATGTAGAACTGAAAAGATAAGTTGAAGAATCTCAGTAGATCTCATGGCTTTGATCGCACATAACTAAAATGACTGGAACTTCAAGAGACCTTTTAAAATCTGATAATGTTTTTCTCAGTTTTAAAAAAAAAAATCTAGCATTTAAAAGAAAACTGAGTTGACCATGAAGCTTTGTTTGTATTTTGCACTTTAGCTAAAGTTTTTTCGGGTTTTATGCAGTGATAAATCTTGAAATGTTATTTTTATAAAAAAAATAGCATGATAGAATGATTTTGAAATGTGCTGTTTCATGTATTTGTGTTAGACTGTTGTATTACTTTAAGTGATAGAATTGACTGTTATTTTCTATTTTATCCTTCAAGAAACTTACTTAAGGATTCATTATAAATCAGTATAGATATAGACTTGTCTGGCTTATATCAAGTGAGAGTAGTTGCAATATATGTAGATTAGTAATAATAACTCTATGGTAACAGTTTTCAATTCAGTGGAACACACTGAATTGTCAAATAGTGAAAGCTAATTTAAAATGTGTTGAACCTAAGGTTTATTTAAACTTGATCTGGTCTTGAGATAAAACTTAAATTAACCTTTACATTATTTTTCTACAAACCTAAAATTGGTCTCAGAAACTGAGACTGTGTTTGAAAAGCTGCAGAACACATAAGGACGATTAGAACCACCAAAGGTGGTCTACCTTAGTCAACTACATCCAACATCCCGGTCGCGCCACCTAGTGGACTCCTAGATGTTTGTCCTTTTTTTTTATTTATTTATTAAAGATTTCTGTCTCTTCCCCGCCACCGCCTCCCATTTCCCTCCCCCTCCCCCAATCAAGTCCCCCTCCCTCATCAGCCCAAAGAGCAATCAGGGTTCCCTACCCTGTGGGAAGTCCAAGGACCACCCACCTCCATCCAGGTCTAGGAAGGTGAGCATCCAAACTGCCTAGGCTCCCACAAAGCCAGTACATGCAGTAGGATCAAAAACCCATTGCCATTGTTCTTGAGTTCTCAGTAGTCCTTATTATCCACTATGTTCAGCGAGTCCGGCATGTCTTTTCCAAGCCCTATTTGATCTTGTTAAAGTGTATCTTTGCAAGAAGGGGCCTTTTTTCAACTTTGTTTCTCTTTTTTAATAAAAGGAGATTGTGTAGCAGCATTTCCTCTAACAGGTTGTAACACTTGAATCTGTAAGCCATAGTAAAATGTGTCTACAGATATCATCAGGTGCATGGAGTTTTCTATAGTTATTATGCTTTAACTTTCTGTTGCTGTTCTGTTTCTACCTGCTAGGACTAGACTGATTTAGTCCTGCTCACGATGCACTATTTGAATGTGTGAAGACAGCCGGCCTGTCTCTTCCTACTGTCTTCTCCCCCTCTTTCTGAGAGCCACATGTCATACTATTTATTTATGAGTCTGCTGCTCATGCCTCTTAACAAATGTGTGATTGGGGAGGAAGATAGCCTGCTGATTTCCCTTAGGAAGAGATAATGGAAAAGCACTTTGAAATCTTGAGACCCCTGGAAGGGAATCAGTAAAGCACTTACTGCATGCCGGCTACATGTATATGCGGGTATTGTGAGCCATGTCCTGTGACGAGCCTTCTGCCTTTCGCATCTCTGCTAGGAAAGAATGGCCCAACCAGGAGGAATCATCCTCCTCACTCACGGCGCCCTCTCTGTCAGCCTCCGTGTTGAGGCTCAGAGTGGAACGTGACTGAAACCGCCTCTTTCTTAAGCTGGAAGACAGAAGGGATGGCACCGTTTCCTACCACACAGAGAAGCGGGCCCTCAGTCAGAGAGCACCCAGCCAGCAGAAACAAAGGAAGCAGGAGAGAGGGTGATGGTAACAGCTGACTCGGTCAGTACCCTTGTCTAAAGAGCGTAAATTGCACTAGAAACTAGAAACTACCATAGGGCTTTCTTACTGTTGGACAAGTGTCTGACACTTGTGGTTTACCTTAGTGTCTTAGTTTTGTACTCGGAACCCTACCTGCGGGGCTCCCTTTGCCTGTTTTTCAAGGATGTGATCCTTGTGGTTTCGTTAACATCTTTGTTTTAGAGATCTCAGCCCTTGCTTTGACTCCTTCCTTAGTCCTATGATTTTGTGTCCCAAAGGCAATCCCTTGCCTCAGATGTCCCCAGCATTCATTTCTTTCTCCAACTTCTATAACTTGTTCTTCCCACAAAAAGTTGAAACTGCTGCTAAGATACAAGTAAATTACTTCCTAATGTGTTTGATATGTGTTTGTCCTTGACTCATCTGGCACTCAGTTCTTGCCGTTCTTGGGCTGGAGGCAAGCATCTCATTTCTCTTTGCACACTCCAGCCAGTCTCTGAGTGTCCTTTGGAGACCGACCGTCCTAAAAGATGCTGCTGTTTGCGGAGGTCAGACTGTTGTCCTCTTCTTCACTCTGAACAGCTACTCCCCATCCTCACTGCCATTGAGGGTGCTTCTGGTGCCTGGATTGCTGACTCCACATCACACTTGCCCATGCTCTTCCAGACGCGCCTGTGCCAACCTGTTGGCATCGCAGCTGAGTCGCTAATACTGGAGCCAGAGCTCATTAAAGCAGCAGATCAGTTACTCCTTTGGCCCCTGCCCTGGAGCATGGCCAGGGCTCGAGGTATCTCACCCCGTTTCTGCTTCCCTCATCCTGCGATCATCCAGCCAAAGATCAGCTCTTCCTGCTTTAGTTGTCTGATATCGGAGAAGCCCAGCTCCATGTTTTCTCTCTCTCATACTTCTTACCCTTATTTGAAGCTGACACGGCTAAGACACCCTGCTGTACTCCTTCCTCTCACTGCTGATAGATCAGTCTTCCTAAGAGCCCTCAGACTAGCGTGTCACCTCTAACTTGGGTCATTTGCTACGTTCAGGTAGAGAATGGCTCTAAAAGGGGAGGCCCTTAACAACGCACCCTGGCCTAGCCCTGTAGCCTTCGCTCATATAGTTCTCCATTCTGTGTCTTTCAGTTCAGTCAGACGGAATAGCAGCTGCAGCTGCCCGGCCATGCTTGCTCCCTTATGTCTGCCCCACCGTACAGGTCATGTGATAGACACACTTACAGGGTTGTCCTTCCTCCACCATCAGCTCTTGACTTGGCAGAGTCATTTACCTCTAGCCCACCCATACCTGCATTGTTCTGGATTACATTATTCTTCTAAAGTTCATGTATATTTTTCTTTATGACATTCTCCTCAAAAGCTATCACACTATGTTGAGTTGTCTGTCTACCTGCCCCTATGGATTATGAATTTCTTAGTGACAGGAACTATATTTTAATTTATTAGAATTTTTTAGTAACAGCTGGGCAGTGGTGATACACGTCCCAGCACTCGGGAGCCAGAGGTAGGCGGATCTCTCTGAGTTTGAGGCCAGCCTGGTCTACAAGAGTTCCAGGATAGGCTCCAAAGCTACAGAGAAACCCTGTCTCGAAAAACAAAACAAAACAAAAAAAAATCTTAGTAACTTATATCATATTCAGAATGTACAAAAATGTATTATTGTGATAATATAAAATGTTTTATTTTAGCAACAAATTATGATTACTGGATAAGACTGTATTAAAATGCAAAATATTGTGCAATGTATAAGCTACTCATGTTAATGTTAAATTATACATGGTTGTTTAGTCATCAAAGGTGTGTGTGTGTGTAACTTAAAGTGTTTTGCTATATTTTTAATAAGCACTTGAAAATAAATTCAGTTTTTAAAACATCACATCTCATTATCTTCTGTTATTAGCCACCCCCAGTGAATTTCTAGTATTTCCTTTGCAAGGTAAGTGAATAAACCTCAAGTTCTTTTCTCTTTTGTTCAAGCCATTCTTTTTATAACAAGGAACACTTTGCAACTTGAGTGATGAGTTGTATGGTAAGGGCTTAAAGGAAATACTCATTTATCAAGCCAAACCATTTGGGAACATGAGTGGGTGGAGCCAATGGGAGGAAGGCGTGCCTCATTAATAGATAAAATGTCGCAATGGCTGCCCTGCTGTGTGATGGGGGCAAGATTAGTAAAAAGAAGTTTAAAGTTTTTCCAAATGTTTTTATTAAATCATAATCAGTTTGATTTACTATTTTAAAATAAACTTAGAAATCTTTCTCTTGTTATTTCTGGTAACCCAGTCTTGGAAAATTATCAGAAAAAAAAATGCATAGGAACTATAGACCTTAAGACTTGTATATGTATAAACCTAATTTGAAAAATATAGCATACACCCAACCATTTTAATTCCCCCTTTTCTGTGATTTTGTGTTACCCATTGTCTGACTTAAAATGTTCTAATGTTGTTGGCAAAGCTAAGTTGAGTCAAAACATCAAGACAAATGAAGAAAGTGCATGAAGTGGACCCACGTAGTTTTATTTAACATCAAGTCAAAATCCCTAAGATACCAAACAAGTGAAATTAGGCCCATCGTGAGCAAAGTTGGTTATGTACGGTAGCCAACATTCCTTGGATGCCTGCCCTGTACCAGTGTTGAGCTTGTGGGTGGGTGGGTGCCTCTACCCCCCACCCCCCGTCACTTTATGAACTAAGCACTGAAATAGAAACGGTCTTGCAGCATGGCCATTGCCACTATCAGAGTGTGTAAAGCAAGGTGAGTGGCCAACTGAGTTTAGATGATTTGTGTGGTACTAAGAACTGAAATAGAAACGGTCTTGCAGCACGGCCATTGCCACTATCAGAGTGTGTAAGGCAAGGTGAGTGACCAACTGAGTTTAGATATTTGTGTGGTACTGCTCAAGTGGGTTTTAATCCTTCACGATGAAAGACCAAGAATGTTGTCGTCCCCTTCTACTCTGAAAACTTTCCATCCCACGGAAGAGCAAATATATGTATATGATGACTTATGTATGTATGTAATATGTGATATAGATCTCATATCTATAAGATGATGACTATATATGCATCTACATTTTTTTTAGAATTCTGGCTGAAGCATTTTTCAAAACTGGTACTTCTCCCCTAAATAGTTCAGTGTGGATCTCCTGAGGACACGCTCATTTGTATATGTACTATCACTATATCTAAAAGTACTCATTCTTACTATCTAGCTTACAAATTATTTAAAAGTTCCCAGTGGCCCCCAAAAATTCTTTTGTGTGTGTGTGTGTGTTCAAATAAGACTGTGCATGTGGGTATCTCTCTCATCTCTCAACCTCTCTCATGTTCCCTCCATCTCA